AGGATGGCATGCAGGTACAGTGGGTTTTACTGTCACCTCATAGCAAGGAGAAGAAGCAGCTTTATTTTATTGTAACATATACAACAAAATTTTGTTTGGAGCCGAGGTGTCCCGGGCTGCTCCATGCGTACTCGCCACCGTTATGAGCAACTTGGGGGTTCAGTGTCTTGCCCAAGGACAATTCGGCATGTGGACTGCAGGGACTGAGACTCAAACCTCCAACCTAATGGTTGGGAGATGACTGCTCTACCCACTGCACCACTGTCGCTTTGAGTTTTGAACCTTGTGGCCAGCTGGGGCCTTTCTGGGTGAACTTAGCATATGGGTTCTCTCCGGGTGCTCCGGCTTCCTCCCACAGTCCAAAGACATGCAGCTTAGGTGGAATGACGACTCTAAATCGCCTGTAGGAGTAGGTCAGGGTGTGTGTGCTTGTCTGTCTCCAAGTGTGACAGACTGGCGACGTGTCCAGGGTGTCCATTACAAATTAAAGGAGCACCACAGGCTGGAAACACAATGATTTCTGATGATTTGGAATAATTCTGTCCAGTCTATTTTAGGAGTTCTGTGTCCACCGGATCAGATTTAGCTTTTTTTCTTTGTTTTTTTTGTTGTTTCAATGCAAGCAAAAGAAATAAACAAGGATACCAAGGAATCTGTGATTGCAACCGTCTTCTGAGAGGAGTTGTGTGTTATCTGACAGAAATGCAGGGGTGCCAATATTTTTGGCTACAACTGTGAAACAATGCTTTATTTCAGCATTTTCCTTCCACCCAGGCCTCTCCATCATTGGTAGCCTTTAAATATGCCTTTTCTTGAGCAGCAGCATCACACAAAAAATTCACTTTTAACTGGTCATAAATTTGTTCATCATTGCTAGACAGCTGGAAAGAAATCCCTTTACAGGACAAGGCTTCTTGGGAGATGTTAAGATTTGGAGGCTGTGGCATGGGGCTCAGCTTGTTATTATTTCATCATAGACACAGTCTAAGTTGTTTCTCCCCCTTTGCATTTGTAATCAATTCAAGGAGTTAATGTTAGGTGGGGAGGGTTGATGTTGTAAGACTTCAACATGCTAATAGCTTTAAAATGAGTCTTAACTGGCGTTTAATTCACCAACAGCTGTTGTGCTGGTTAAGGATTGAGCAGCAGGCCGGAATGTCTGAAGGACCAGAAGGAGAAATTAGTTCTGCTGGTACCCATGTTCCCTCCCAGAGAACCATCTGCTCCACTTCAATACAATAGAGGGATTTTCTGAATGAATAAAATGCTTTGAACACAACCATTTCTCTCCCTCTCCCTCTCTGAGAGGGGCTCTGGTTAAGGTGTTGTATTTGCTGGCACTCAGCAAATCTGCTGCACATTTAATGATTGGTTCCTTTTGCTGAGGAGAGGATCACTTCATCATGACACCTTAAAGAGAGGCTCAGGAGAAACACAGGAGCAATTTACAAGATTATACCAGAACGAGGTGCATTTAAACGCATATAGATGTGAGCCTGAGAAGGATAAAAACAGTTTTTTCAAGGAGTTTCAGTTAGCACAACTGTTCAGTGTGGCTTCAGGCGCTATTGTTAAAGGTGCACAGCTGGAGCCTGTGGCCACTGGGGACACCCCAAGGGGACAAATCATACATTTGTTCCTGTTCCTGCATTGCAATCCACAATCATCAGTCATTTAACAAACAAGACATTGTAATATGTTTATATGCTTGCTTCCCCTTTTTCAATAAAGACAAGTAAACTACAAAGCTCCACAGAACAAAGTATGGACATTTCTACTAAATCAAATCAAATCAAATTTTATTTGTATAGCGCCAAATCACAACAAAAGTCATCTCGGGACACTTTACAAAGTAAGGTCTAGACCTTACTGTTATCAATATTATTACATAGGGAAAACCCAACAAATCCCCCTTGAGCAAGCACTTGGCGACAGTGGGGAGGAAAAACCTCCTTTAACGGAAGAAACCTCCGACAGATCCCGGCTCTTGTTGGGCGGCCTTCTGCCTCGACCGGTTGGGGTGAGTGGATAGAGGAGAGACAAAAGAAGAAAAGCAACAAGACAAAGCAAACAATCAAACACTGATCAGGTCGATGTGGCTACTATACTGTATATATACTGTAGTACTCATTTGTTTGGTTTGTACCATGATACCACAAAAACTGTCCGGTTAGCTCCTCTGCTTGTAGCTGTGAAGCATCAAAAACACAGAATGGACCTGAAAAGTTGGTCAGAGATCATAAATGAGTCGTGGTCCACCTCCAGAACATCCAGTGGCAGTGAATAGGTACAGCTGGGAAAGAAGCCTGGGCTTTTCTGGACAAAGGTCAAAGGTGAGTGTGATAGCAGACAAAGTACCATGTCTGGACTTTATTCATTTCATTTGTTGCAAACGTGTAATGTAACACAGCCAAAGTAGCTTTTGAGTTTTCAGTGAGAAAGTTTAGTCCATTGGTTCATTCTTGCATTTTGCTGCTGGCTGCCATCGCTGCTGGTAGTGTCCACACAGAAGCTTCACGCTGACGCTGTGTTATGGTGAATTTCAGTGATGACTGCAGCACAGAGAGCTTCCAGCCAAATACAGTATGTCTGACTTACTGAACAATACTGCCATAATGTTGAGAAAGGTTTTCTGGAGGCGTGGCTGTCCTGTGTGTCCTGCACAGGGGACGTTCTGCTGATCACTATGGTCAGAGGCAAACTGAGCAAAGCTGACTTCAAGTCTCCCTCTCTTTAAATCGTTTGCAATGTGAACAAGGTGGGGCCGGTCTAGAAAATTATCATTATTGTTATTTATTAAAACATCTGGTGTGTGCCTGTTTCTCACCAAAGACTTCTAGACATAAAAATATTTTGTTGGTGGTTTTTAATCCCTACTTGACTTGTTAGGACAGTGGTCTTACATGTGTGCTATATTATTATTGTTATTATTAATTAATATTATTATTAGCCTATTAGTAGTTGTAGTCTTTGAGTTGTATTATTGTTATTTATTATTATTATGAAGAAGAAAAGTGCCATATAAATTGAAATCATTTTTTTCATGTTTTTTATTTGAAAGCTGAAAAGATGAAATAATAAAAATTAGATTAGATTAGATTCAACTTTGTCATTACCCATGTACAAGTACAAGGCAACAAAATACAGTTTACGATCTAACCAGAAGTTCAATAACAGCAGTGCAGAGTGTGCAATATCTACAGTCTGTACAGTCAGAACTAGTTTACTGATAGATATATACAATTTATAGTTACAGTAAGACATGTAGGGTAATGTACGATATGCAACAGACTGGATTTAAATTACAGTAATAGATAAGGTACATTAAGCTTATAGAACACTAGTGCGATGGGATGAAATGAATGAAACAGTGCAGAATAAGATAAGTTACGAGTGAAGAGTGCAATTGATGTAATAGTGCAAAGATAATAATAATAATAATAATAATAATAGGGGGTCCAGGGGAAGCTGTGGCTTCTGTGCAGAGCGGGTTGATTCCTAACCGGAGGTTCGATTCCCGGCTTATCCAGTCAACATGTCGAAGTGTCCATGAGCAAGAAACTGAACCCCCAGATGCTCAACAAAAGTAATCTCAGGACACTTTACAAAGTAAGGTCTAGACCCTATTATTATTATTATCACAGAGGGGAAACCCAACAAACCCCCCTGGGTAGCACTTGGTGACAGTGAGGAGGAAAAACTCCCTTTAACAGAAGAAACCTCCGACAGACCTTGGCTCTTGGTGGGCGGCCTTCTGCCTCGACCGGTTGGGGTGAGTGGATAGAGGAGAGAGAAAAGAAGAAAAGCAACAGGACACAACAAACAATCAAACACTGGTCAGGTTGATGTGGCCGGTGACTGCTCCTCAGAAACATAGAGCTCTAGGGCCAGGGCTACCTGCAGAAAGGTACAGGGAGAGAGAGAGGACACACAACGAGAGAGGGAGGACACACTATGGGAGAGAGGAGACACAAAGTTAGTGATGTGTAATGGTGGCATATAGAAGCATAGAGAGATAGGAAGGAGGGGTAGATGGAGCTCAGAGCATCATGGGATGTCCCTTAGCCTAGTACCCTTAACTAAGGGATGGTCCACCAAACCAAACTTATCCTAGAATGCATGTCCAATCATTTCATAGACACCACTACATGGGCCCTAGTGAAGGCCGTCCTGTTGACTTGAAACCACTGGTACAGTTAAATATCCTCAGTACCAACAGGACGGCCCAGGCCCGCAGTTTACTAGCAGTTACTGAGATGGCTGTTGGTCTTATCCCTGTTCAGCCACATTAGTTGTTATGATGCCATGAAATATCAGAAGACATCAGAAGATGGGCAGCAGCACCATGACGGTTAGCTAACCCAGGGCCTTTCTGTGCAGAGGCTGCATGTTCTCCCTGTGCCTGTGTGCACTCCCTCCAGGTACTCCAGCTTCCTCCCACAGTCCAAAGACATGCAGTTTAGGTTGACTGGTGACTCTAAATTGCCATTGGGTGTAGTGTGAGTGGTTGTTTGTCTACATATCAGCCCTGTGACAGACTGACAACCTGTCCCGGGTGGACTCCGCCTCTCGCCCAGTGTCAGATGGGATTGGCTCCAGCCCCCTGTGACCCTCGGTATAGATAATGGATGAAAATCACAACATACTAAGTATAAGGAGAGAGAGAGGACAAGTAGTGTGAAAACGCTTTGAGTGTGCTGCAATGCATAGAAAAGCGCTGTACAAGTATAAGACCATTTACTAGACCAAGACCATTTAGTAGTAGTAATAATAATAATAATAATAATAATAATGGTGTAAATCTGAAAGTGAAAAAATGGCGAATGGTCTCATAAAATGGTTATGACATATCAGTTAGGAACGAAAACCCCTTGGACCACTGTAAAAGTGCGTGTAGGCGTGCATGAGGTGTGCTGAGGTAACATTTCCGACTGAGGTGTACCCAAAGGGCGATGTAAGAAGGTGGACCGGTCCCCAGCTTCACGCTGAGATGGGCTGTGTCGAACGTGTGCGCGCGCGTGTGGGGGCGAGTGACTCTTGTATAAAACCTCTCCCTGAGGGCACAGAGACACGGAGTAGAGTGAGTGCGTTCCTCTTTACTTTTCCTTGAAGACATCTGTGTAACAAGAGGAAACCTCTCCAGCTCGGACGATGATGTTTCCCTGCAGCGCTCTGCCGCCTCACTTTTACCCGGGCTTGCTGCGTCCTCCTGCGGCTCTCTGCTCTCCCCCGACCCGGTCACTGCCCTCGGGCTTCCTGGGAGAAGATCTCCTCCGACTGCACCAGCCTGTCAGCCATATACACGGAACTTTCTCCGCCAGAGGTCCCGGGGACCTCCTTCCTCTCAGTCCGCGGCCGGGCGCGTCTCCCCGTGCGTTAAGACCGACCA